ATAAAAAAAGTGAAATTTTTAGAAAATCTGAATTTTTGATAAAAAAGCTGAAATTCAAGAGATAAAAGTGAAAAAAGCGGAAATCAGCTAAAAAGCGGAAAAATCTCATCCCTGTTTTTCAATAAGTTGACAAGCCTCTTTTAAGGCGAATGAAACCATAAAAAAAACAATAGTCTGTATATATTTGCCTGAAAAAATCTGGCAACCCTAATTCTGCCATGCAGCAGAAAAATGAAAGTAAATGGAAAAAAAAATTTTTTAAATTTAGATTTTTGTATATATTTGGCATCTTTGTACAATAAGCTACATAGCGTAAAAAAAAATTCATAAATAAATTTTGTTTTATGAGTTTTCTGAAATTCTATTTCAGCATTTGTAGCATATAGAAAGAAAATAGTTCTTAAGCTCCTTTTCACAAAATCTATTGTGAAGCATTAACATTTCAAATGCACGACATAATATATATTAAACAAATTGTAACACACCTTTGGATTTGCCTGATCCAATGCAGCAGTATAGCAATCCATAGCAGCTTTCTTCCTCATATTGATGATTGACATGATGCGTTGTTGGTGCATTGCTGACATTTGTCTCTTAGCAGCAGATCCCTCCTCCTCCAAAGCTTCTACAGTCTTTTGGAATCTCTAAATTGACAGAGGGGGAAAAACAGTGGAATATTAATACAGAGTAAGTAAAGAATGAAGTTTAAATTTATCAGTATGATGTGTTATACTAACAGCACTCATTTTTTTCCTGAAATCTTCTGCAGCTTTGGGATCCTTAACTTTCATTTCTTGGTAACGTTCTTCCAACTCACTCCATTCTTTCATGACCTACAAATCATAAAGAAATATTTTAATTAAATTGTACGGTTATTTTAGTTTACACAAGAAGAATGATAATGAGTTGTCAATTCACAACTCCATCACTCAAATGTTTTTATCAAAGAAAACAAAATACAATGCTTTCAAAGGACCACACACATTTTATAGATGGGAATAGAGTTCAAGTTGATTTGATACTGATACATTTGATTCATTCTAGTTGAAATTCCCCTGATCAAATGTTTTCATATACCTAATGTTTGAAAAATGAATAGATTTTGAGATATGGAGTTTATCTGAATGAGTACATAAGGCAGGAATTTCAAGTAATCTCTTTGAATGGTTAATTAGAAATTACTCTTAAAACCTATGTGACATGAAAGTTTAAAACTCTTATAATCAGTTCATTTCTTGCCAAGAGCACTTTTGATCAGAAGGATTTCAATCAAATCAAACCAAAATTTCAACCAAATAATCTGGGACCCAATTATAAACATAAAATGTGTGGGGACCTTTAAAATCATTATTAAAATAGAGTATATGCTTAAACTTTTTGTCAAAACAAAAAATAGGATGAAATTTAAAATGCTCTTCAGGAATTTAAAAGCTTCATCTTAATAATACTATCAAATAATATTGTGCTCATATATCAAATAATATTTTAAAACAATATATTAATAAGGAGTTTTNATGTTCCACAGAGTAACACAACAGTGGTAAAAAGAAAGTGCTTAAAACTAAATGTCAATAGTTATGCTTAGTTAAAGCTTATTGTCTGGCATATTGGCGAATCATTAAGCAATATTAGAAAGCAGAAATTCTAGTAGTTGAAAGGTGCCCCATGTTGAAATGTACCCCCCTCTCCCCTACTTGGCAGAAAAAATAAAATCGAAATTAATTTGTAAATAGCCAGAATCTACATGAAAAAAAAGCTCTTAATAACGTCTTCAATGAATGATAAGCAAAAAATATCTACAGAATTTTTTTCAAATGTTTCAAGTATTACGCGATATTAAAATAACTTCTAAAAAATAAAAATTTTCAGATATTTTTCCATATAACCTATCTATTATCAAATATTAAAAATCTCATTCAAAATTTTTTATTAAATAATTTCTTTTGACAAAACACAAACAGTATTAATACTGAAGTAAACTAGAAAAATAACTTACTTTTGTAACTCTTTCTCTATGACTTTCTTCTAAGGATTTTTGGGCTTCTTTGAAAAATTCATGTTCATGTTTCTTGTCAAAATGACTATAATAGTAATCAACAGGCCTCTCTGTTGTAGTAGTGGTTGTAGTTGTTGTAGTAGTGGTGGTGGTTGAAGTAGTAGTGGATGCTCGAGACATGTCTTCATCATCATCATTGTTATCATCATCATAATCTTCATCATCATAATAGTCATCGTCATAATCTTCATCCTCATTTGAGCCATCTTCTGAATCAACCCCACTATCTCCTTTGCGACCGTCGTCATTTACTATGCCAGTATCTTTGTCTGTAATAAAATTAACATTTAAATTCTTTTTTTTTTACATGTTATCAAAAATTAAAGCACATAAAATTGAGACTTTAATAATAATTAAGTGTTCATAGCTTTACTAAATGAGAGTTCAGTCTTTCAAACTTATAGCACTGGGAATATGTCGCGAATTCAAAATAATTGGATAGTTAAAACTATGTTCGAAACAATTTTGTAGTCTGAATAAAGTAAACTTAGTGGTGCGACAGCCGATAGAGGGCCAAGGCCTACTGTGCCCATCTTAGTTTTCTTGACCTTAAACTCTGGGGTACAGGAGCAGATGTTCCGGTCAGGTGGTCAGCCGATCGCAGAATCCCCAGTGTTTAGTTCCCAAGCATGCTTGGTACTCATTTATCAACCCACTGAAGGGATGAAAGACTGAGTCAACCATGTCCGGCCGGAGAATCGAACCCAGGTGGCATGGGAGTGTGAAGCGCTACCACACAGCCACCGGGCGTCTTGTAGTCTAAATAATGTGCTTTATAATTTTAAAACCTAAAAGATGCAAACATTAAACTATTAAAAAATTTTCTACTATGATAAAATATGAGAGAGAGCATTATTGTCAAATTATATCAGTTTTGTCACAAGATAATGAAAAGAACAATATTCCACATGTTATTTTAGAATGATGAAGGCGATAATGTTTCCACTTTAGATGCTATGATCTTAGACAAATTCCTAAATTGTGATAATAAGCTATCACTTTTTTTACTACAACATTATTCATACAGAAGCAGATTAAAATCACACATGACATAATAGCTTATGAATTGCACGGAATCAGTGCAGCATATTTGCTAATTGGAGGAAAATCAAAATACAGGAGCTTCATAATTAAGCATAACCAAGTAATTAGAAAATAATGTACTACATTTTTAAAGTGTTTGAAATTTTTCTAAATTGATAATAAAAATGAAATCATTTTTGTATAAAAAATGAAAGAAAACTTGGTAAATTTAATAAACAAATAGGTTTGCTGAAATTTATAACAATAGAATGTTTCCTCAACAATCCTCCACAAGACAATATTACATGACGATTTTCAATGCAGTTTTTGAACATTCCTCTCAGCTTCTTGGATTTGTAAATAATTCATCCACCATAATACTTATTCCTTTCAGCTTAAATATAAAAATATCCTGATATATTTACCCAATTTACAAAAAAGTGTGAAATAAGTGAGTGTGTTAGAAACAGAAGTCTGCAAGCAGTTTCAGGCTTTAGAGGGTCCAGAATAAAACAGGCAAAATTAACACATATTTTGTTAAATACAATAGCAATGGAAAGGAGTACAACTTGACGCCTACAACCACGTGGTAAGTCTGTCAGGGTTGGTTTCACATAAAAATCCCACAAACAATATAATAAATTTTTATTAATTCCCCTGCTCTAAAGTTATTTCAAATTTGCCAAAAAATAAATTATAAAAAAAAACTTATATTTTTCAACAAAAAAACTTAAACACAATAAAATGAAAACTTCAACAGGGAATATATACAATAATATATACATATATTTTTCAATTACCATTTTTAGGACAGCAAACAAATTCAACACCAGAAAATAGATCTACACCACAAGGCAGAAGCATTGCAAAGCTTCTCAGCTGCATAGTTCTATCAAGGCAACTGTGGGCTGCAGTATTGTTCCACTCATCAAATGTCTGGCAAATGCTTTGATTATGAATATGATCGAAGAGACAATGTTCTGGAACAAGCAGGGCATCGCTCTGGAATTGTCCTTCTGTAGATAAATTAAGTACATGCATTATTGTGGGGGCAAATGAACTTGACATCAAGGATATATGGTATATTAAGGGATACATAATAATCAGCAAACAGCTTACAAGAATCACATAAAGCATGCAATTTCTTTCATTAAAGTATTTTTTTCCAGTTCACATTGTTTCTACGTTGTAAGAATTGTCTTTCATATAAATTTCTTTTATGTTATTTCACTGCAGCCTCATGAATTCAGTAATTTCAGTAATTATATAAGTGAATTCATTCATTATTTAATACAGCCTCCCTAAATTTAGTCAAATTTTTTAATAAATTGGCTTTTGATATGAGCAAAGTTATTAAAAAATATACCAATATCTTAAGCACAGCACTTGATATGATTCAAATTTTTTTTTATAATTTTTAAAAGTGTTTTAAGATGAAGATAGTTTTTTTTTTGTCTTCTAAAAACTGCAAAGTGACCACATTTCTTGGCAGGTCAGACAAATCTGTACCACCAGGGTCAATTTAATCAAAAAAGAATGGCAACAATAATAAAGAGAAAGTTTGCACCAACACTAATTGCCAAAGAGTTTGTCAGTAAACAAATTGCATGCTACAGTCTACGGTGTCTTCATATAACATCAATATCCATTCAAGTTCATGTTATATAAGTGCAATAAATTAATGTTTTCTCTTATGNTCATCCCTGCTTATGGTAACATTGTGGAATCAATAACTAAAACAAAATAAAAATAATTCAGATTGGGTAAAAGTGAGTTTTTAGTCAATACAAATGAAAGAGTTGAGATTTAATTCTCATTAAACTAAAACTTTCAATATGCATTTTATTTTATAACTGCCGTTTAACAGCTGACCTAATTCAGTGTTTTGTTTCAGTAAATATTAATGTTCCAATTTTGAACCAAATCAAGAAGACATGGAAACTCCTATATTGAGCATCTGGACAAACTAGCCTTTTGATGGAACTAACCAGCATTTGCATTGCATGGGGAGGAAAACAACGAAAATACCCCCCCCCCGGTTAACCTGATTGCAAGGGGATTCTAAGCCATGATTCATCTACCACTGAAGGTATAACTTTTAGGTATAATCTTTACACAAAAAGTAAACAGTGATTCATTATTAACAGTATTTATTGTAAGTCATTATTAACTATAAATTATTACACTAAGATTCTGCTTGCAAAGTTTAACTTGTAATACAAGATACACTATTAATTTAAGAACTATGTTTAACCCCTTAACTTGTGCGCTCGAGTTAATTCGAGGGTGCTAAACAGGCCAAACTGTGCACACTCGTGGTAATTCGAGCTCCGTTGTATTTTATGCTGCCATAATTTTTCACCCTCGAATATAATCGAGAATTGAAAATAACAATGTGAAAACTAAGAAAAAAAAATCGTTTTATTAATATTTATCATTTACATAGGATTGTAAGCTATAACACTTATTTATTCAAGAATAAAATATAGCCTTTTTCCATGGAACAAAAGCGCAGTTTATCAAAATTGTCCACCAAAAGAAAAGACAATGTTCTAAAGTGTGTTTTTTTACATTAAAAAAAGGAATATTTTTTTTGGCAGGTTTTTTTCAAGAAAAAAAAATTACGCATTAAGGGGTTAAGAGAGTCATAAAAATGAGAGTCAAATAAATCTACTTACGAAGACATCTGTATGGTTTAACCCAATGACTAGCTTTACACTTCTTTTGACCAGGCTTGCACCAATTATCGATTTTGAAATAGCGGCTGGATTCTACAATATTTGTGATGTCCTTAGACGGATATACCTAACAATACATAAAATGAACTCTTATAACAGCAATTCAGTTTAAATACAATTCACAAATTATTCAATTTAAAATATAATACAACGAGAATTAAATAAACAAGTTGATAAAAAATTATATGGCAAGTTAGCACATGATTTCTGCAATTCGTGTAAAAAAAAAAAAAAAGCCGTGGTAAGGCAAAACTTATATTTATATAAATTTTTTGTTGTAATTAATGTCACACTTTTTATGAAGTAACAAAAAAAAAGAAGGAACAAATATGACTGTTTTAACACGTTCACGCCGGGGTGACCCACCGGTGGGTCACGCTAGATTGTCTCATCTTGGCAGCGCACCGGAGTAAAAACTGGAAACAATAAATTTCATTTTTTAGTTTTTTTCCGGGAATAATAAAAATCCATAACTACCAATTGTTTTTAATGGATGCAATGTTTATATTGAATTGCTTCATCGCCGTGATAAATTTCCTTACTGTGAATTGTTATTGTTGAGAATAGATGTAACTCCTACCGAAGATTATCTAATATTGAAATAGTTCTTCTACCAGTATTTTCTCTTTTCCCGGCGTGAACGTGCTAAGGGAAGCAAAAAAAAAAATTATAATAATAATAATAATAGTAAACAAATTTTGCACCAATTGAAGTTGGCAGTGACACATTTTTTTAAAGCAATGCGATGATTTTAAACTATATAATAATCATGCCGTGAAGAGATATCTGGACTTTAGAACAAATAGGCTAAACTTGACCTAACAGCCATGATTAACAGCTGTAAACACACAGCAGTTATAGCATATTATTCGCAAAAAAACATATTTTTATACTACGAAGGACCCTTCGAAAAACAGTCTTAAGTAAGAATATAATAAATTATGGTGCGCTAGACTATATTTTGAGACTCATATAGGTTTGGAAGGATATAAAAGTTACTTTCATCAAAATTCTACAGACAAAAGAAATTACAATATATGCAATATAGTTATGACAATAGATTGCTGATACGCTCACTCAGTTTCCAATATTAGAATCAGCAGAAAGGAAAATTTAAATCAGGGAAATTGTATCCAAAACATCAATACACAATCCCTAAGATTATAATACATCTTAAGATGGCGAAGTTGAGAAATATTAAGATTAGCTTTTCAATGTTCAATCAAGAGAGAAAGTATAATTAGGTATATAAACTGACTTTCTCCTAGATCGAAAAGTTATGAAATCTAGACTAGAAAATCTCGATGATCTGATGAAAGAGGTATGCATAGTGAGCTGAAAGCAAAGTCGGGACTATTTCCAATGTAATAAATATTGAGGCGGAAGATATCCTCGGGCATTAAAGTTCTGGAAAGCAAATGGGGGAAGTTTTGTCAGGAGGATAATAATGATGGCAAAATTCTTCTTTACCCTCGGAAAACGGTTTTCCTGGGGCTAAAGAATGCACAAAGTCATATTTCATATAATTATTTGGATATAGTGACTGATAATAAATTCGGAGAATGATGGCTTCATTTATTTTTAGAAAAGGATTTGAGTTACTAGATAATTGTCTTTTTTTTTTGTACAATGACTGCCTCACTTATTGCAATCATTATGAAGCAGGAAAAAAAAATATTTGGGATAAATATAATTAAATAGGATGAGAATGTGTGAGTTGATAAATTTTCTTTATGCTTATTTTAGCTTAATTGGGGTACGGACAATAAAAGTTATTCGCTTGCTAATAAACATTCCAAAATCCATAAGTTAATAACGAACACAACTATTAACGAAAATGACTGAAAATGCAATACATTAAAGAAAGCACCAAGTCATATATCACCAAATAATTTGGTTAATAATGAATTCCAAAAAAGGGCTTCATTTATTAAAAGCAATGATTTGTATATCCTATTTTTCTGTATAATGACTAATCATTCGTTATTTCCATTAAGAGATAAATGTAACTGAATTGGATAAAAATTATTCTTTTATTTTGCAACGTAAGATTTTGACACTAAAAATTAGTTAAGTAATAATTATAACTAGTCGAAAATGCATAACGAATCAATGATTCGAAAATATTCAAAGTTAGTATACAAAATTAATTTATTTAAATATTTCATAAGATATAAAGGTATATTGCCCGGAATTTCTAAATAATATTCCTAAAAATTTTCCTCTCCGCCTACACTAGCAATGGTTTCAAATGCAAAACTAGAAAACGCAAATTTATACTTTTAATTATTTATAGAGTTAGCTCCTAAGTAAGTGCATAGTTGATTGTCAGGGTGGATGGTTTGAGCAAGTGCCTAGGGACACAATCCACTCTCTCGATTTTTAAGAATAACATAAGTTTAATGAATTCTAAATTATTACAGGGATGAGATTAGCCAAAAGGCAAAACAGCTGAATTTCCACGATAGTAAATTTTACGCAAGTGCAACCCTTTAATAATAAATTCCAGACAGTTTAAGGTAATAAATAATGTGTTGACATACAATTGTGTACTAATCTATTATTATATAAATGATTACATTGATACTTAACATTTAGTGAAAATAAAAATTACCAATTGAAAAAATAAAGCTGGAAATTATATTTTTCCTCAGTTTACATAAGAGACAATTATTACTTGAAAAACTACCTGGTTTAGCAAATTAAAACTACTGAGAATATACATTAATATTTCATTTCTTTTAATAAATACTGTTATGTGATTTATAGCAAATATATCAGTAATATTACTTTTTAAATTATATTGGAAAAAAAAACTTTAACAATGGACCGAATCATTATGTTCATATTATAGTCTAATCTAACTAGAGCCCTCTGAAACATATCAATAACAGTGAAGTAGAAATATATAGTAACTCCTTAACATACAAAAATTGCTATTTTAGTTTGAAAAATTACATGACAATCAGCAACTGTTTAGATAATTGTTTTTTATTTGATAAGAATTTTGCATTTTATAGCATAAATAACAGCAATTATAAATAAAATTTTGATGATGAGTTAATTAACTCTTTTTCCAAAAAAAAAAAATTTAAATTAAATCCCTTTTTAAGTGATTGCTTTTGTTTGCTATATCTTTTATGTTTGCTATATTTAGTCGTTAGTCCATCTTCAAACATCTTGTGACAAATCCTATTTTTTCTTCTTTGCAAGCACAGAATGTAAGTTTTGAATATATTCCCTTCCAGTTTCTCTGATGTTGTAACACTTACATATACTAATAATCGTCGTTAGAAAAACAGTCACCTTTATAGTAACTAAATTTTAAAAAAATTTACTTGTTACAAGATTCGCGATAGTTGATCTTAAAATTGTGTGAATATGAATAACAATTATGGATTTTGAAATCACATGAATATGAAACTAGATATACGATTTTGAACATGAGAAAATACAAACTGGGATATATAATTTTCAAAACGCGTAAATACAAATCACGATTCATAATTTTTAGATCACTTAAATACGAATCAGGATGCTTAATTCTTAGATTGCATAAATAAGAATTATGATGCATAATTTTTAGAATGCGTGAATGCGAATCCCAATGCCTTATTTTAAAATCATGTATAAATACGAAAATCAATGTTTGATATTATAAATCGCATGAGCAAATCAAGATATTGAATTTTAAACTTGCGTGAATACGAATCGCTACATAGGTTTTTAAAAAGGCGTAAATACGAATCGCAATGTACAATATTCAAATGGCGTGAATAAGAATCTCAACACGCAAATATGAAAAGCTATGCTTGATATTAAAATCGTGTGAATAAGAATCGAGATATTAGCAGATTCCAGGCTTGGGACCTCTAAAAGGCTTGTCAGAAGCAGCGTCGTTTGAAAATCGGATCTATCTGGAGCGCGGGTAAAAAATTCGGAAAATCTTATCTGCTGCGTGTAAAAGGGGAGAAAATAGCTAAAATAGGCAAAAATGAGAAAGGATTGGTAGCTATGTAGTTTGAATTTTCTGTTTCTCTTTGAAAATCGGTGAATTTTCTGAAAAAGCGAAATACTTATAAAAAAAAAGTGAAATTTTTAGAAAATCTGAATTTTTGATAAAAAAGCTGAAATTTAAGAGATAAAAGGGAAAAAAGCGGAAATCCGCTAAAAAGCGGAAAAATCTCATCCCTGTTATTACGATCGAGGTTGGAAATACATATTAACTTACTGTTACATTGAAGACATCAATTCAGATTTCAACTGCCAGTTGCCCCCAAAATATATAGAAAAAATCTTAATCATTTTTCCCCAGCTAAATTTTAACTACAGCGATGGCACCACCCTTTAGTTCAGAAAATCTTTTTCCTAACGTTTATTTCCAAGCAAGTTTTAAATGAGTTCTGGAAAAAATTTGTCTTATTCACAATTTTTTTTATTTATTTGTTGTTAATAATATGGATCAATCTTTCATCATTAACCAGCTTTGAAAATATCATAAATATAGTTGGTAATTTTCATAATTCTTTCATTAAAAATATTAAATAAAATCTCACCCCCCCCCTCCTTTACATCAACTTGTCGGTTCCATATATATAATTCCTATATAAAATTTTCTAGATTAGAAAAATATGTACTAAATTTTGGGACCCTTCTCCTCGAAATTACAAGAAAATATTACCTAAGCAAGACATTGTGCCCCATAAATAAGGCCCAAACGCATTCAATAACTCAAGTTTGCAGTCACTCCGCAGCTCGAATTTCACTGAATGAGCTCTGCAGTCCAAGAAAGGTGATTCCAGTAGGGGAATTCTCATTTGAGTAAATGGGCAAGTTGTTAGCTCTCTAGACAGGGTTGCAATAAGTTGCAAAATGGACTGTTATTGTTAATTAGCAGCAAACATTCTGGTAAATTGCTAAGCGTGTCTTTCCATGACAACCATTATGGAAGATCTCACAGACCAGCGCAATCTCAGTCTCATAATCGCTTAGAGTTACATGAATCAAAGGAGGATATTAATGTTAGCTAACCAAATAAGGTCACCTTTTATATGAATGCTTGTGCAA